TATTTATTGTTTAACCCCTTCCCCCCCCCCCCAAATTTCATCTAATCACCTGTCAACAAAAGATTTCTCCAGGCACTTCCAGGCCATCAAATGCTAATCAAGGTGGTCAGTTGAAACATTCACACCTAGCTCCAACAGACAAGAGTCCTTTGTCCCACCCTGGTCATTCCACAGATATATAAACCCTTTTCCTAGTTCCAACAGACCTCACTACCTCTGAGGATGCTTGCCATAGATGCAGGTGAAACATCAGGAGAAAATGCCTCTAGACATGGCCATATAGCCCGAAAAAAACTACAACAACCCAGTTTCAATCCTGTATTTTTGATATCTAGTTTTCTGCTTCCAGTTCAGACTTTCTGATTGAGAAAAGAATGCTAATAATCATGTGTGTTTTCCTTCTTCTCCTGTGACAACCCCCCCCCCTATGAAATCCGTCTCGATTGATTAAAAATATTACAATTTCTGTCCTAACTTCCACTAGCTATGAGCTTTCACAATATTGCTGCAATATATACTTTGGGCTGCTGTGAGTATTCCGGGCTGTATGGCCATGTTCCAGAAGCATTTTCTCCTGACTGTTCACCCACATCTATGGCGAAACATCAGAAGGCTGCCTGCCATAGATGTGGTGTTTTTTTTTTTTGTGTCAGGAGTGACCTTGTGTGAGAGAATTGGCCGTCTGCAAGGACGTTGCCCAGAGGATGGCCCAGATGATTTTTGATGTTTTTATCATCCTTGTGGGAGGCTTCTCTCATGTCCCTGCATGAGGAGCTGGAGTCAATAGAGGAAGCTCATCCGCCTCTCCCCGAATTCGAACCTGCGACCTGTCGGCCTTCAGTCCTGCCGGCACAGGGGTTTAACCCATTGTGCCACCGGCAGATGTGGGTGAAATGTCAGGAGAGAATGCTTCTGGAACATAGCCATACAGCCTGGAAAACTCACAGCAACCTAGTGATTCTGGCCATGAAAGCCTTTGACAATACATACTTCAATGGTAATCATTCCTATTGTTTCAGATACTTAAAGAGAAGTTTGTAAAAAGGAAGAAAGCAAAACAAAGAAGCAAAAGGAAGCCCTAAAGGATGCGTACTGTCACTATGCATAAGCTACTGATTTGGAGCAGAATCATGTTCTCTAGCTTTTTCTTGCCCTGGAAGATTATGACAGAATATGTTTGTTCATCTTCCAATTATAGACTTCCCTGTTCTTTTTTTCCTGCAAATGAATACAGTGGCTATTCCTTAGATCCCGTCTGCTTTGCATTAACCACCTGCAGAAATGTACAATGAGAACACTAGCCCACACATTAAGAAATACTGATAGGAAAGCAGGAAAGTGGTGTCCACTAGTGAAGTGACCATGATGGGAACAATACCTGTTGTCCTCTGGAACCTGAATGCAATATCCATTGCTATTGTAAGCATTTCAGAATGGGACAAAATAGTGCATCAAGGTTTTTTACATTCCATATAGCTTTTCTTTCAACCTAAATTGTACCCATATAACTTGATCTACATTCAGAAACACACATAAAGTTCAGGTTGAAAGAAAAGATATGTGGATTTTTTTTAAAAAAAGTATATAATCAATTGCAATCCAGAAGCTCACAACCTCTTGCCATAGATGTAGGTGAAATGTCAGGAGAGAATGCTTCTAGAACATGGCCATATAGCCCGAAAAAACTAAAACAACCCAACAATCCAGACGCTCACAACCTCTGAGGATGCTTGCCATAGATGTAGGTGAAATGTCAGGAGAGAATGCTTCTAGAACATGGCCATATAGCCAGAAACACCTAAAACAACCCAACAATCCAGAAGCTCACAACCTCTGAGGATGCTTGCCATAGATGTAGGCGAAATGTCAGGAGAGAATGCTTCTAGAACATGGCCATATAGCCAGAAAAACCTAAAACAACCTAACAATCCAGAAGCTCACAACCTCTAAGGATGCTTGCCATAGATGTAGGTGAAATGTCAGGAGAGAATGCTTCTAGAACATGGCCATATAGCCTGAAAAACCCAAAACAACACAACAATCCAGAAGCTTATTACCTACCACTATCTAAAGCAGAATGAAAGATATAGATAGGACCAGGGTCATTTTTAACTGTTTCTGGTAAAGAAATAGAGTTTGCAACCACTTCAATACCACAGACATAAGGTCAAAGAAAATGTGATGGACTTCCGACAACTTCGATTTAAAAAAAAATGTTTTGAAACAAATCAGCATTTTGTCATACCATTCTTATAATTTGTTGGCCCGATATTCATGAATTATGGAGAAGACTTAATCCATTTGGAAATACATGTTGATAAGAGGAGACTGCTGGAGAGGGCTAAAGAATCAGGATGGCTTTGGAAAAATACTGTTCACTCAGACTGGATCTAAACTGCCCTGTACCCCAGATTATTTTCTTATCCCAGATAATCTGGCAGTGTAAACTCATATAATTCAGTTCAAAGCAAATAATCTGGGATCAGATTTTGGGCTATAGAGCGGTGTCAATCTAGTCTATGCAGCAATAGAGGCATACAAATTATGAACAATTCAGTCAACACAGGTAAGGAAAATTAGAGTTTACATTTACATAATAATTATAATAATGATGTTGATGATGTAATAATAATAATAGGTATCAGGAAGTCTGGTATTAACTTCAAGAAGTGATGGGTTATATTATTATTATTATTATTATTATTATTATTATTATTATTATTATTATTATATAACCCACCTCTTCTTGAAGTTAATACCGGGCTTCCTGATACATTTTATTATTATTATTATTATTATTATTATTATTATTATTATTATTATCATCATCATCATTATCATCATCATCATCATCATCATTTTATAACCCACCTCTTCCTGAAGTTAATACCACGCTTCCTGATACATTTAACCCACACGTGGAAAAGATTTCCAAGCAAAGCCAATGGATCTGGGGAACTCTTACTAGTTACGAGATGTGCCAGTCAAATAAACAGATAAGTTCTCAAAGGTTTTCATGGCCACAATCACTGGGTTGCTGTGACCTCTGAACAAACCTCGGAGGATGCTTGCCATTGATGCAGGCAAAAGGTCAGGAGGGAATGCTACTGGGACATGGTCATACTGCCTGAAAAATTCATAGCAACCCAAATAAACAGATAATCTAAAACCAATGAAACTGCTTTCACAAGACCAACAGCACTTTTTTTTCTTGAACAGCAGTCTTTGCTTAATGGCATCCAGCAAAGGGTTGTAAGGACAGTCATGGTGGGCAATGAGTATGTCCAATGTCCATCCCCTTATAGACGATAAGGAGTCTCCTTGTGGAGTGAAAAGTGATAAATACACAGGAAGAGGAAGGGGGGAGAGGAAGAAGAGGAGTAGGAAGAGACGGAGAAGAAGAAGAGGAAGGAGGAGGAGGAGGAGAATGTGGAGGAGGAGGAGAAGAGGAATGGAAGAAGAAGAGAAAAAGGGAAGAGAAGATGGAGAGAAAAAGAGGAAGGAGAAGGAGGAAGAAGAAGAGAAGAAGAATGGAGAGGAAGGAGAAGAGGAAGAAGAAAGAGAGAAGAGGAGGAGGAGAGGAAAAGAAGGAAGGAAGAGGAGGAGAAGAGAAGAAGGAAAAAGAAGAAGAGGAGAGGGGAAGGAAGAAAGGAGGAGGAGGAGGGAAGGAGAAGAAGGAGAGGAAGGAGAACGAGAAGAAGTAGAAGAAGAAGGTGGAGGAGGAGAGGAAAGAGAAGAGAAGAGGAAGGAGAAGAGAAGGAGGAGAGATGAAAGATAAGAAGGAGAGGAAGGAGGAGGAAAAGAAGAGAAAGAAGGTGAAGGGGGAGAAGGTGAAGGAGGACAAGGAGAAGTAGAGGAAGAAGGAGGAGGAAGAGGAAAAGGGGAAGAAGGAGAGAAGGAGAGAAAGGAGAAAAGAAGAAGAGGAGGAGGAGGAGGAGAGGAAGGAGGAAGAGGAAGAGGAGAAGAAGGAGAAGAGGAAGAAGGTGGAGGGGGAGAATGTGGAGGAGGAGGAGAAGAAGTAGAGGAAGAAGAGGAAGGAGGAGGAAGAAGGAGAAGAAGGAGAGGAAGGAGAAGAGGAAGAGGAGGAAGGAGGAGGAGAGGAAGAAGGTGGTGTGAAAGAAGAGAAATAGAGGAAGAAGAGGGAGGAGGAGGAGACGGAAGGAGAAGAAGGAGATCGAAGAGTAGTCAACTTCTTATGATGAGAAGGAGAAGAGGAAGAAGGTGGTGGTGAAAGAAGAGAAGTAGAGGAAGAAGAGGAAGGAGGAGGAAGAGGAGACGGAAGGAGAAGAAGGAGAGGAAGAGGAAGGAAAAGAAGAGAAGGAAGGAGGAGGAGGAGGAGGAGAAGGAGAAGAGGAAGAAGGTGGTGGTGAAGGAGGAGAAGGAGGAGAAGCAGAGAAGGGAGAAGGAGAAGAAGAAGAGGCAGGAGGAGGAGAGGAAGAAGGGGAGGTATTGGAGGAGATGGGGAAGGAAAAGGCGGAAGCTCTGAGGTGGACTGGAAAAGTAAGAAAGAAGCAGAAGAAGGGCTACTCTTGTCCCTGCAAAGCAGGACACCTTTTTACAGAAATGGCCCAAAGTAGCAAAGCCAGGCCTTGGAAGATGAGAGCAGAGGGGCTTAGCAAAGGAAGAGCTTCTGAGCAAGGAAGAAAAGGACCTTTTCCCCAGTACTTTCWTCCTTCGCCGCAGGCACCGGGAGGAAGTTGACTCTCTTTAACCCGCTCTTAACAAGCCCTGCTATCAAAGGGCTGCCTGCCATCAAACCGCCTGCGAGGACCCCCCCCCCCCCAGATCCCACCTTCTGGACCCCAGGAGAGGCTGCCAAGCTGAGGAATGTCTTGGGGTCCATCTCCCTCCCAAAGAGGCTTCTCTATGGGTCTCGCCCGKCCTCGCCTTCCTTCCAATGAAAGGAAAGCAGCGTCCCAGAAGGGAGCAGAGCACAGCCCTGGCGCCGCTCTCCATGGTGCTGAAACGGGCCAGAAACAAGTGACGCCGGACTCACTCACCGCCTCGCGCAGGAGAGCAGCAGCAGCAGAAGAAGCAGAAGGAGAGCCTCGTCCTCCTTGCAGAGTCAAGGGAGCTAAAGGAGGACCCTCTCCTCTCCGACGGCTGGGTCCTCTTCTGCCAGGCGAACCCCCGCCCGTCTCCGGCGGAGGAAGGAGGGAGCAGCCGGCGAGAAGCAAGCACTGGGGGCGGGGAGACGGGGTGGCAGGGCAATGGCGAGGAAGGGTGGCCGCTCTCGTCCCGCGGCAAGTCTCCCCTGGCGCAGCTGCGGACCCTCAGCCTTCAGCCCTTCCTTCTCCTTTCAGTTCCAACGGCGCGGAGCCCAGCAGCAGACTCTCCCACCACCTTCAGGCTCCCACGAAGAGCCACCTAGTGGCCAAACGGGGAATGGCACCTCCGGTACAAAAACAGAGGCTCTCTCTTCCCAGCACATACTGCAAGTCGAGAGGACCAAGGCATTGACATTTACTTATTTAGTATATTTGTATACCGCCCCTCTCAGCCTTCCAACGACTCAAGGCGGTTTTCAATGCCAACAAGAACACAATTGCAATATAAAACGTCAACATCAATAAAATCATAACACTATAATAAAACATAATTCAATAGATACTAGGCCTGGGTAACAACGGAAAAATTTGTTTCTAAAATCGATTTGTATTTGGGGTTTTTTTTTGTTTCAATATTTAAAATAATTACAAAATTTTCCTTTTAAAAAGTTCGATATTTACGAAATTTCGTAAATGGTAAAAAATTAACGAATCGATTTCCGAAACAATAACGAATCGATTCGTTAATGGCGGACGCGACCACGAAATACGCTAAAAAACCTCCAAAACCTTCTGAAGCTTCCCTCTCCCTCTGTTGTTGACTGTTGGTGTGATATTATAATTTTTTTTCACTAATTAAACCATAAAACTGGCCCAGACATGCGGAAATAATAACGAAACGACCTCAAAACAATAACGAAACAAATACAATATCGAAATGCGAAGCATTTACAAAACGTTTTTGAAAATTCGTTTTTTTTAATAATTGCTCCAGAATGGTTCGTTATCGTTTTGTAATTGAAAAAATTAACGAATTATTAACGAATTACGAATTAACGAAACGAAACCGCCCAGCCCTAATAGATACTCATTAAAACAATGTCCAGTTCCATCATGGAGTTGTTCCACTCTTATGTCCATTACTCAGTATTCACAAATGCCTGCTCAAATAGCCATGTCTTAAGATTCTTCCGAAATGCTAGGAGCGAAGAAGCCGATCTGATCTCCCTAGCTGAGGGGCCACCACTGAGAAGGCGCTGTCTCCCATCCCTGCCAAACGTATTTGTGTCCCAGACAGAGTCAAGAGCAGGGCCTCTCCAGATGACCTTAAAGTCCTCGAAGGTTAATAAGGTGAGATTCATTCGAACAGGTAAGTTGGGCCAGAACCATTTAGACTTTATTATTATTATTATTATTATTATTAAACTTTATTTGTACCCCGCTAGCATCTCCCGAAGGACTCGATGCGGCTTATAAAGGCCAAGGCCTCAATACACAACATAACAATACACCTAAAACAAAATTAAACAATTAAAGCAATATTAAAAACAACACAACAACAGCAGTAAACAATACACCAAAACACAATAGAAACTGGGCCAGCCAGAGTAAAGGGTACAGGATTAAAAGTGCTGATGTGACAGGTGAATTATAGGCTTTATAGGCTGAATTGTGCCCGGTAGCAGACTGGCAGCCAGTGGAGGTGGCACAACAGGGGAATTATATGATCCCTGAGAGCCACTCCAGTTAGCAACCTGGCTGCCGTCCATTGGACCAACTGAAGCTTCCGGACAGTTTTCAAATGCAACCCCACATAGAGAGCATTGCAGTAGTCTATACGGGATGTAACAAGACTATGGACTACCATGGCCAAGTCAAACTTCCCAAGGTACGGGCGCAGCTGGCGCACAAGCTTGGTCACCGCCGAGACCTGAGGTTCCAGCGATGAGTCCAGGATCACACCCAGGCCCTGTTCGGAGTGGGCAGGAAGTACCTCTGTCTTGTATATAGATCTCTGGCCCATCCTCTCTTCAGATGTTAGCCAATGTCTTAAATCAGTGGTTCTCGACCTTCCTAATGCTGCGACCCCTTAATGCAGTTCCTCCTGTTGTGGGGACCCCCAAGCATAAAATTATTTCTGTTGCTACTTCGTAACTGTAATTTTGCTATTGTTATGAATCATATTGTAAATATCTGATATGCAGGATGTATTCTCATTCACTGGATCAAATTTGGCATAAATACCCAATACGTTCAAATTTGAATACTGGTAGTTTTGCAGGGAGGTGTAGTTGCTGGGATTTATAGTTAAGCTACAGTCAAAGAGCATTTTGAACTCCACCAGTGATGGAATTGAACCTTACTTACTTACTTCCTCACTATTTATTTATTTATTTATTTACAGTATTTATATTCCGCCTTTCTCACCCCGCAGGGGACTCAGGGCGGATTACAGTGTACACATATATGGCAAACATTCAATGCCAATTTGACATACAACGTATACAGACATACACAGAGGCTATTTAACTTTTTCTGGCCGCCAGGGGAGCTGTCGCTTTCATCGTCCATCTGCGACACTGATGAAGTACTTCCGCATTCCCCGCATGCTTTTTGCTGGAGTGCTTTGCTGGAGTCTTTTTTTTATGGCCTCATAAATTAGTTAATTTAGCCTCCCCACACTTTAAGGTGGTACCTAATTTTCCTACTTGACAGATGCAACTGTCTTTCGGGTTGCAAAGGTCGACAACAGGCTACACAATTGGTTGGAAGCCCACTCCAACCCGGGCTGGTTTCAAACTCATGACCTTTCGGTCAGAGTGATCTTAATGCAGCTGACACTCAGCCAGCTGTGCCACAATCACTACCTCTGAGGATGCTTGCCATAAATGGAGGCAAAACGTCAGGAGAGAATGCCTCTAAAACAGGGCCATATAGCCCGAAAAACCTACAACAACCCACTTACTTACTTACTTAGGCAATCCCTTGTAGTCTGAGTAGGATAGTCTTCCAGGATCAGAATTCTTGTCAGTCTGTAGGTGACTGTGGAGCCCTATTCTTGACTTGCATTTCCTCCCGCAGTGAGGGCATTGGTTTCCAGTTGGAAGGCAGTCCCGGTCGGGGTTGGCTTGACATGCCTTCCGCTTGGCATGTTTCTCTCTTTCGCCCTCCATTCGTGCCTCTTCAAATTCTACAGCACTGCTGGTCACAGCTGACCTCCAGCTGGAGCGCTCAAGGGCCAGGGCTTCCCAGTTCTCAGTGTCTATGCCAGAGTTTTTAAGGTTGGCTTTGAGCCCATCTTTGAATCTCTTTTCCTGCCCACCAACATTCCGTTTTCCATTCCTGAGTTCGGAGTAGAGCAACTGCTTTGGGAGACGGTGGTCGGGTATCTGGACAACATGACCAGTCCAGCGGAGTTGGTGGTGAAGGACCATCGCTTCAATGCTGGTGGTTTTTGCTTCTTCCAGCACATGACATTTGTCCGCTTGTCTTCCTAAGAGATTTGCAGGATTTTCCAGAGGCAGCACTGATGGAATTGTTCCAGGAGTTGCAGGTGACATCTGTAGACAGTCCACATCTCGCAAGCATATAGCAGGGTTGGGAGGACAATAACTTTATAAACAAGCACCTTGATATCCCTACTCATGTCCCGGTCCTCAAACACTCTCTGCTTCATTTGTAAAAATGCTGCACTTGCAGATCTCAGGCAGTATTGTATTTTAGTGTCAATGTTGACTTTTGTGGAGAGGTGGCTGCCAAGGTAGAAGAAATGGTCAATATTTTCTAATGTTACACCATTAAGCTTTATTTCTGGCATTGGAGAGGGATTGGCTGGTGACTGCTGGAAGAGCACTTTGGTTTTCTCAATGCTCAATGACCGACCAAGCTTCTTGTATACTTCTGTGAAGGTGTTTAGAGTGGCTTGTAGGTCTTCTTCTGAATGCGCACAGATGACGTTGTCATCAGCATATTGGAGTTCTATAACAGATGTTGTTGTAACCTTGGTTTTGGCTTTCAGTCTGCACCAAGCTCAGCTACTAATTTATTCTTCTTCTGAATGTGCACAGATGACATTGTCATCAGCATACTGGAGTTCTATAATATAATTGAACCAAACTTAGCACACAAAACTCCCAAGACCAAGAGAAAATACTGGAAATGTTTGATGGGCATTGAGTTTTGAAGTTGTAGTTCACCTACATCCAGAGAGCATTGTGGACTAAAAAAAAATGATGGATTGGGACCAAACTTGGCACGAATACTCAATATGCCCAAATGTGAACACTGGTGGAGTTTGGGGAAAATAGACCTTGACATTTGGGAGTCGTAGTTACTGGGATTTATAGTTCACCTACAATCAAAGAGCACTCTGAACTCCACGAATGATAGACTTTGGCCAAACTTCCCACACAAAACTCCCATGACCAACAGAAAATACTGTGTTTCCTGATGGTCTTTGGCGACCTCTCTGAAACCCCCTCGTGACCCTCTCAGGGGTCCCGACCCCCAGGTTGAGAAACACTGTCTTAAATCAAAAAAGAGTTTTCTAAGATCTACAGAGTGTTGCAGCCAAGCCCTAAGACACCTCTCACCCAGCGCCACACCAAAGGCCAAGCACCCAAATAATAGAGCTTATTGAGTAAAGAATATAAAAGAGAAAAAGAAACTTTTGCCAATTGTGGAAACAGTTGTTCAAACCTTTGTATTGATTAATCTTTGCTGTACAGTACATTTTTATGTCAAAACACTGGTTTGGTTGTTATAGTAGTAATAGTAGTAGTAGTAACTGTATTACTTGCCTCTCCTTGTGGTTTAAGGTGGGTACAACAGGGCAATAAAACACAACACTATTAAAATACATATAACAAAATATACATAAGACCTCACTTAATTAAATGCACCATTAGTTAAAATTCACAAGTTAACATTGACTGGGAAGAGATAGGTCTTCCGCTGCATCTTGAACTCTGATGGCTTATTTATTTATTTATTTACGACATTTATATGCCGCCCTTCTCACCCCGAAAGGGACTCAGAGTGGCTTACAAAATATATATAAATACGATACATTATATTATTAGCAGAGTAAAATATCAGTATTAAATATTACTATATTGTATTATACCATTATATTGTAATATTATTAGTAATATTACATGTAATATAAATATATATTTAATAAATTGCTATTATTAGTATTATATTGCATTACATTATAATATTATAAATATTATATGTATATACAATATATTTATTATATTATATTATATTATATTATATTATATTATTAACATAGCACAGGAGACAAGGTGGAACTGTCTTCTGCC